GAACAGCTGGGAACAGCATCTTTTCTTGCCACGGCTTATTCCTCTTCTCTTTAACCTCCGGATGGCTGCTCCAGCAGAGGAACTGGCTGCGAGATGACTTGGTTGGAAGGAGAGAAGAAACAGGGGCTGCTTGCAGCGCTTGGGGTGTCAGAGCAGGTACTGGGCTCTCAGTGTAATGCCGAGAGCGCTTTTGGGGTGAGGTTTCTGTCCTGGGGTGACAGGCAGCACTTAGCGTCTGCGGCTGGTAAGTCTCAGGTGCAAATGGCCTTTGAAGCAGGCATGGTCTGCAGCAGCCCAGAGGAGGTGGCTTTCACAGGGCACGCACTTAGAATCATAGAATCATTTAGGTTGGAAAAGACCTTTAAGATCATCACATCCAACCATAAACCTAACCTTAAGCTGGGAACTCCTTGCTGCAGGACCTTGTGGGTGACAAAAGCTTAATTTGGTCCCCAAGGAGACAGGACAGTTCTGTGGAAGAGAAATCCAACGGGGTTACACAGGCTGCATGAAAGCCATGCCAGCCGCATGAGGGTCCTGAGCTGTGGACGGCTGGAGGCTGGAAGAGCACCGTTGTACAGCAGATGCTGCACGGGGGCGTACATTTGGCCTGACCTTGAACAGAAGTGTCTTTTCTTGATCTCGTTTGAATTTGTGACCTTTCACCATCACCCACAAGCTTGCTTTCCTGCATGTGGCAGGGGGCTGGCAGCGCAGAGCTGCACGGCTCCTGGGTGGGCAGGGGCACGGGGAGCAGGGCTTCCAGCTGGCCGGCAGCCCTGGGCTAGCAACTGGGTTTTGGCTTCCATTGAGCAGAGGAGGCTGCCATCTCTCCCGAGTACGCCAGGTACTTTCTGTCGTGTCAGACCCTGCAAGTGGTTGGGGTTTGAATCGAGTAATTGGTGGCCAACGCTAGCTAACTTCAGATTTTTCCCGGTATGCCAGATGGAGCTGTCACAGAGAGCCGGCTCCGCAAATCCAGCATCCAAGGCCGAGCGGGACCTGGCGCCTCCTAAAATAACAGGCTCAGCTCCCTCCTCGCCTCCAGGTAAACCTGGAGGAGCTCTGTCACTGGCAGCTGGGTTACACGGGAGGAGAACCAGAGCAGCTCCATCTGAGAGATGACACGGAGTTTAAAATGGTGCTTTTCTCCATTTCTTGGAGCCTGCTCAGCTTTACTGAGGCACCAGCCTTCTGCACCCGACTGTGCTCACCCGTGCCCTGGGACAAGGGAGAATCAGAGTGACAGAAATCCCTTTGTCAGCTGTGCCTGGGAAGGAGGGTTACAGAGCTATTAGCACAAAGAGGGGATGGATTCTCTCCTAAGTGCTCCGGGGACAGAGATTTAAATGCTTAGCTCCCATTAATGCTAATGTGAATTACAGAGGTCTCTTCTTACTGCCTTGAAACAAGAGCATTGAAAAAGAGGCCAGCTTTCCGCAAAGAACAAATTCACTTGATTTTAAGACGCTGCTAAATGGGGTTTTTCTTCATTTCACACTCATTAATTCCCCTGCCTGTGCTAGCTCGGAGGGGGACTCTGCTCCGGTCCAGCGCACGCGAGCTGGCTGGCCCACTGCACGCTGGAGGACGCTGGGTCTCCATCCACCGTCCCCTGCTCTGCGGGGGGACACTGGTCCCCAGAGTGGGGTTCCTGGCCTCGAGCAGCCCCAAAGATTTTCTTTCCACATGGAGATGCAAAGTGCAACGTTCCAGCTTTTCGCGGGGAGGAGAAATCCCTCCAGCGCGTGTCAGAAATATTAACAGCATCTTTATTCCCCCAATCTGGTAGAGCAGCCACAGGAGACAAGGCTCGAGGTCCCTCCGACCCCCTGCTCTCGCACAGGGGACTCCTCCTGAGTCTCCATCTCCTGCTCCCTCCATGGAGATCACACGCTCGTGGGAAACCTGTGACTCTGCCTTCCGTGTCCAGCGATTAAATCCTTCTCCGAAGCGACAGACTGCATTAAAGCTTGGGCTTGCTCCAGGGGTCATGGAAGGTACCTGTAGAATTTATGGACCCAATCAGTCATTTAATTTCTCTCTGCAGCCTCTGACTTATTAACATAATAACAGAAACCAGAAGGACTTTGTTTGTGGTGTACGGTTATGAATCACATTGTCACTGCGCCTGCAGCGCTGCCCTTAATGAATATATTCAGGCATGCCCGCGAGTCCCTGCGCACATTCCCGTACGCGCTCCGTTGTCGTGTAGCATTAATTAACCTTGTTTAATGAGCTAACCGTGCTGGCTTGCAGCTCCGAGTCCCCGGCGGGGTGACTCTTGCCCTGAGCAGCAGGGATGCAGTGGGAGAGCTGGGCAGATGTTTGTTTCAAAGGGGACGTGTCCAGGAACGTGTGTCCGCTCCGGGAGAGCCTCGGCGTCGTGGGAACCCTTCCTGGAGACCAGCATGAAGCTCATGCCGATGAAAAGCCACACCTTAGAGCTCCCCTTTACAGTGAGGAGACTGTGGCCACCCTACGTAGGAACTTGAAAACACCCCAACTTTGCACAGCTCTTACTGGTGGGTGTCAGTCTCTTCTGCCAAGTCACAAGTGAGTGCCTGGGTTAACGGTTGGACTTGATCTTAAAGGTCTTTTCCAACCTAAACGATTCTGTGATTCTATGGGACAAGAGGAAACAGCCTCAAGCTGCGCCAGGGCAGGTTTAGGGTGGATTTTAGGAAAAACTTCGTCACTGAAGGGGTTGTCAGGCCCTGGCACAGGCTGCCCAGGGCAGTGGTGGGGTTCCCATCCCTGGAGGGATTTAAAAGCCAGGTGGATGTGGTGCTTAGACATGGTTTAGTGGTGGGCTTGGCAGTGCTGGGTTAACGGTTGGACTCAATGGTCTTACAGGTCTTTTCCAACCTAAACAATTCTGTGATTCTAGTGCACATCACTGTGAGCTGGGCAGGCCAGTGTCAGCACCCCAGCCTCCATGCCAGGAACAAGGGACGGGACCGGGTGTCCACTGTGTGCTTCATCAACCTTATGATTATGAAAAAATAAAAATATTAAAGTTTCCGGACTAGTTCCTACACCTGCCCTTGCTTGCAGGCACTAGTGGCATTGAGAACATCTGGAGCGGAGGGAAGGGCTGAGCTGAGGAGGGGGATGCGGTGTAAGACCTCAAGGAGGGAGGCTCTGGGGGCGATGGATCATCTTTGTGTGGACTTTTTGTGGCTGCGCCATGGAAGCCGCTGTGCTGTGAGACTGGGGTGTCCGGGGTGAAGGAGCTGCACATGGAGAGTGCACACTGGCGTTGCACAGCTCTTATGAAATTTTAAGAGCACATTTAAAATGCTTTCCCATTAGGAAAGCCTCAAAAATTATGTTGATATAAAGATCCCCTTTCTGAAATGTATGTTGATAGAAAAAAAAGCCTTCCAAAGACTTGGTTAAAGGAAAAAACACACCATGCTGCAATTTTAATGAGGAGCTTGTAAACATAACAAACTCACGCTGATTTTCTCTATTAATTGCCTGTGTTATCGAAGACCAGGGCCCTGCGGTGCTCGGTTCCCAGCAAACCGCCTTGCTTAAGACATCTTCCTAAATCCGGGAGGGCTGGAGCCGTGTGTGGGCTGTGGAGGGCAAGCATGGGGCAGGGCGATGGAGGCTTTCGCAGGGGCACGGCGGAGGGGAGGAGGCAGGGCTGGGTCATCCCTGCGGTGCGTGGGGCTGCCAGCGCCGCGGGGAGCAGCTCGGGCTCCGACCTCGGCTCTCCTCCAGCCTTTGCTCGGGGAGGAGAGACGGGGAGGCCCTGCTGAGCTGACTTAGCAATCCTGGTTTTATTAGAGATGCATTCGCTGATTAGCTCCACATCCTAATGACTCGGGCATGATAAATTACAAAGGAAATGCAGAAATCACTAGGGTTATATTAACATCTCCAGGGGAAGCAGCAGTAAGGTCATTTTCTGAGCCATTCAATGGTTGCCATTCGTTTGTTACCTCGTCTTTTCAATAGCGATTCTTTTTTTCTTGATTTCAGCCCAGCGCCATCTCAGCAGGCGCTGCGCTCCGGTGACCTCGCATCCCTGCTGCACCGTCACTGCCCCTGCTCCCCTCTCCTGTCTCACCAGCCTCCGGGGGAGCACGGCACCACAGGGCAGGTGCCAGCGTCCTGACCACAGCAGGGACGGTCACATTAGCTTTTTGGAGATCTGGGGACATCAGCCATCTTCTGGGTCCCCTTCTGTGTCTGCCACAAAGAAAGATCACACCTCAAAACCTGCATGGTGTTTGCAGGCATTTTGCAGCCCACAAAAGAGGCAAAATCTCTCCCGGAGGTAAATTGTCATGGGTGATTTGCCCAGCTCTTGAGATAATAACTCTTACTGAAATCACGGCAAAAGGGGAAGATTCCGGAGTTAATGTTTGGAAAGTGCCAGGAGAATGAAAAAGCACAAGACATGATCGTTATTATTACTGTGCTGTGCAGCTCAGCTCAGCACGGGCCGGAGCAGGCTGTGGGTGTGCGCTCCCACCCCTAGCACCAGAGGAGGAAGGGGCAGTCAGTATTTTGCATTGCTATTACCTTAGTTTTCAGGAGGGATTTGGGAGATTTTCAGTCTGATTCGGGTGATCTGACCTGTGCCCTGTTGCTGATCATCCTCAGCAGACATGGGTCAGATCCCACAGGATTTTTGGTGTCTGGCTGCCTGGAGAGCACAGATCCAGGGGAGTTATTGACTGGCTCCCTCTGAGACCCAGGATGGATGTGGCTTGTCTCTGATCACCCAGGGAAGCCTGTGGAGGAGGTGGACACTGAATATCTGCTTCCCAATCCCAGGGATGATGGCTAACCCTCCTTTTCCTCTCCTTACGCTCAGGGCAACAGGGGCAGGACACCTCGTTGGGTTGCTGAAGGCTGCACGCCCCGGGAAGGCAGTGCTGGGCTGCAGTCCATCCCAGCCCAAATCACACACGGGTCAGCTCCTCCAGCACAAGGATGAGTCCAGGACATGGAAATGACCCTGCTCTTTCTTCCCTCTGCAGAGTCAGCTTTCCCAGGCCCTGAACGGGTTGTCGGACAGAGCCAAGGAAGCAAAAGAGTTCCTGGTCCAACTCCGCAACATGGTGCAGCAAATCCAGGTACCGTGTCTCCTGGCCGAGGAACAGCCCCTTCCCACGGGGATGAGCTGCTCTCTGCAATCCTCTGCCCCATCTCCCTGGCTTGGTTTGGTGGGTGCTCTCCCAAAGGGGCCCACAATCAGCACCTGACTTTTCATATTACCCCCTGCAGCCCTCCCCAGAACTGCTGCTCCCAAAGCTGCCTGTGTCACGGAGCGAGCAGCAGAGACCCCAGCCCTTCCCGTCTCTGCCCCGGGCAGATCCAAGGCTGTGGCAGGACGGACCAAACGGTTGGACTCGACGATCTTAAGGGTCTTTTCCAACCTTGACGATTCTATGATTCTATGATTTGCCATGAGCCAAAGGTGTAAGCACCCCACATGCTAATGGTATGGATTTGTGTGTTGCAGTGATGCAGCTGCACATATAAAAATAACCCATGTGGTATCATAAAAAAAATCAGGTTTCCCAATTGAAATGGAGATGTGCCCTGGGCTGTGATGCTCTGCTCTGACCCGCAGGAGAACAGCGTGGAGTTCGAGGCCTGCCTGGTGGCCCAGTGTGACGCCCTCATCGACGCCCTCAACAGAAGGAAAGCCCAGCTGCTGTCCCGGGTCAACAAGGAGCACGAGCACAAGCTGAAGGTGAGCCCCTACCCAGCGGCTGGGCTGGTCGGAGCGCGTTCTGCAGGGTCAGTGCCGGACGGGGACGAGGACTGTGATGTTGTTTGTTGGGGTGAAGCACCACGGGAGGAGCGGGGAGGTCGCTAGAACGCCACTCTTCTTGCTTTTCACATTAGCTGAATTCCATTTTGCTGCAGATGCTCAGCCCGCTCCCAGCGTGACGGGCCCTGAGCAAAGTGCTGCTTCCTCCAGGTCGTGGTTCCCACTGAATTACCCCATTACTGGCCCAAATAGTAGTCATTAGGTCAGCAGAGCCGTGTGTACATCATCCACAGGATGGAAAAGGACCTTAGTCATGCCCCATGTTGCTTTTGAGCTACTAGCATGATCCTGCAGGATGCTGAGTGCCTGGAACTTCTGCTGCCTTCAGCTGAAGTCCTGGGGCACTTGCTGTCATGAGATGCCAGTTTTGTCATCAGGCAGGAGCAGGAATTCCTCTGTTTTCTGTGCTTGGTGAGCACCTCCTGGCCCCAGGGTGGTGGCTGCCCTGAGAGGTGAATTGTTGGCATTGGGAGAGCTGAGATGCAGCTCTAGATGTGAGCTGTGCAAACGGGCTCCTGGCTTGTGTCGTTCCTGCAGTCACTACACCACAACTTTTCAGCTGGTTTGGGGCTGAGAAGGGAAGGAACGGGCCAAATCTCACCGGGGACCAGCGGAACGGGTGTAGCAGCGCCCAGTATCTGTTGGACAAGGTAGTTGCACCCTGGCCATCACCAATACGGGCCAGCTGAGGCATTTCACACCAACATCACTTTGTGCTTCCAGGGTCTCTCTTCCAAAGGCATTTCAGTGTTTGGGCTAGAAACATCTGTATCTCTTCTCTGGCTTCACTTGCATCCCCCCTGGTCTTGCCTTGGGCCATCCAGGAGGCTCCCAAAGGGATTTCTGGACGTGCCTAAAATGAGGGAGGAAGCCACCAGCCTCCAGTGTGCCTGCAGACGATGGGCACGGCAACACGAGGGCTTGTGAGCATTTCCATCAGGAGATGGACAATAGCAGCTTTGTGGGACCAAGCCCAGCATCAGTGCTCGGTGTCCGACAATAAAGCGCAACCCCAAATAGGCATGCCAGGCCGCCAGCATGTCTTCTAGGCGCAGAGGGGATCCCCACTGCCTGGTGGGCTCT